GAAGTTCCTCCTTTCATAATTTGAGAAATTACTAAATTAGAGTTCTCTTTGGGGAAATAAGACCATTCAATGACGAGACAAAGTTTGCGGGATATTTACATGCAAAAATAACAGTCAAAATGAGAGCCTTTTTCAAAATGACATTTTATTGCTTTTCCTAAGGGTTATATAGAATACAGTTGCATTTATTTCTGTTTCACAGATATCAAGAATTACAAAAGAGAAGTCAAAATACAACATCTTAAGATGTGTCCTGCTGTTTCCTCTTGCATTTATGTAGTATAGGTGAAGACTTCATCTGATGTGTTTTATGCTTCATCTGAGGACAGAAATAAGGTATTTTTCTACTTTTGATAATAAGCAGCTACTCAATACATTAAGATGCAGGTAAAATAAAGGCAAAAACCTTAAAATACCAGGCTTCACTATTGGTGAGCACTGAAAATGTATTATTTTCTTTGGAGTTCCAGACTTTCCATTTTACTTTCCAGTCCTCTAATGATAAAATGTAGTGATTTTTCTTCTAGGTTATCTGCTAAGGAAAAGAAATATATGGGAAAGGCAGGAATGATGATTCTGAACACAAAGAACGGTTTGCAAACAACTGCTTTACCGTAGTGTTCAACTCTGTCTCGAAACAGATGATGAACAAGTGCAGAGGGGCAGCACTGGGACATGCCTCCTGTTTTCCCTGGTGGATCCATGCCAACGAGCCAGCCAGGAAGAAATCTGTGAGGATCTTGCCCTGAAGAGGTCGGGACTCTGACTCTCTGCAGCTGCGCATCTCCAGGATGCTGCTGTAAGCAGGAGGAAGCTAGGGCTTGTCTGCTCTTTGTACAAATCCTGTGCTCCCTCTTGGTTCCCCAGAGCCTCATTTGCCTACGTAGTGGGATTTGAACTCCTGAATTATACTGCCTACATTTTGAATTAGAGATTCGCTCCCCTTTTATTTCCTGTACTGGTAACCATTTTCAGAGATACAGTGCCAAATTCAGACTTGGAACTGAGGCCTGCAGGGTAAAAGGAGTGAATGCAGCCTATCTTTTTGAAGTGGCAGGAACATGAATTTTATGCAACATCCCCTTAAGGGAGATCTCAGCTGAATGATTCTGCTACATTTTTTTCTGCTAAGACAAAAAGTCTTCCCTCAAAGCACCATGTCTCAACACTTAAATTCTAGTAAATCTTCATATGTAAATACCATTTAGAAATGAGCTCTTAAATATTGATTTATAAGATATCATGGTCCCTCTTCCAGCTGCACTGATCAGACTCAGCAGCTGGTGAGGATTCTCCATATTCTCACTGAGAATTGGGCAAGGAGGCTCTCTTCAAATGCTCTTCCAAGCTTCCTAAGCATGTCGCGTTGCCTCTCATTCTTTACTTTCCTTTTGCACCTCTTCCATGCTGTCTCTCTGCATGAGGGGTTATTTTGTTAGCAACAGTTTTGCTCCAGCTGGGCCTCCAGAAATGTACTTGATGTTCTCATCATATGGGATTAGATTCAGCGGCCGTATTCTCGCTCAATACTTGCCATGAGCTCCTCCTCAGAGTAATCATATGATATTGTGGATTGCCTCTCAGGCTTCTTGCTATTTCTTTGTGGGCACCTGCTGGTTAAAGGAATGAGTTATTGCTTTTACGAGAGAAAATCAAGCTCTGAAGATACAAGAACCTTATTTCATTTTTTGTGAATGGAAAAATCGAAATGTGCATGGCTTGCTGAGACACAGGCACTACGAAACCTCTATTTTTCATACCCCACAAACATATCACTTGCTGATGGTTAGTATCACTTGACATCTATTTTATTCTGTATGTTCATTACAGTAAAGCCTTACAAGCGAGCTCCCGTAATCCTTTTGTAAACTTTGTTCAAGGCCTAACTAAAGCACTGCATACCTTTATGCTAGTTACTAGTTGTAGGCTTTATGTGAAAAGGGTTTTCCTTTTGTATCAGACCATGATCTGTGTCTCAAGAAGGCTGGCCATCTCTCAAGAAGGCTGGCCATTACTGGTAAGAATGGGTATTATTTCTAGTGCTTTGGTATTTTGTACTTCTGCTTTTGAGATATGGAGACGGAAGTTAGGCAATTTTATAGAGTGCTGGGCCCAAAAGAGTGGGATCATATGCTGAATTTCTTCCACCTGAGCCACTGCAGCACTCCGGGGATTTGGTTATGTTTTCTTTGTCTTCAGCTGGTTAAATAAGAATTTCAGTTCCAACCAAAAAATGACCTTGGCCTCCTCAAACTGCTCTTACGGCTTGTATTTATTTTCACGTTGACATAATTGTCACATGAGTGATAGTTGATATAAGATTCAGAACCTGCTCTATCACGTTGGCAAGGAGAGTCAAGTAAAGGGACGGAAGTTCCTCCTTTCATAATTTGAGAAATTACTAAATTAGAGTTCTCTTTGGGGAAATAAGACCATTCAATGACAAGACAAAGTTTGCGGGATATTTACATGCAAAAATAACAGTCAAAATGAGAGCCTTTTTCAAAATGACATTTTATTGCTTTTCCTAAGGGTTATATAGAATACAGTTGCATTTATTTCTGTTTCACAGATATCAAGAATTACAAAAGAGAAGTCAAAATACAACATCTTAAGATGTGTCCTGCTGTTTCCTCTTGCATTTATGTAGTATAGGTGAAGACTTCATCTGATGTGTTTTATGCTTCATCTGAGGACAGAAATAAGGTATTTTTCTACTTTTGATAATAAGCAGCTACTCAATACATTAAGATGCAGGTAAAATAAAGGCAAAAACCTTAAAATACCAGGCTTCACTATTGGTGAGCACTGAAAATGTATTATTTTCTTTGGAGTTCCAGACTTTCCATTTTACTTTCCAGTCCTCTAATGATAAAATGTAGTGATTTTTCTTCTAGGTTATCTGCTAAGGAAAAGAAATATATGGGAAAGGCAGGAATGATGATTCTGAACACAAAGAACGGTTTGCAAACAACTGCTTTACCGTAGTGTTCAACTCTGTCTCGAAACAGATGATGAACAAGTGCAGAGGGGCAGCACTGGGACATGCCTCCTGTTTTCCCTGGTGGATCCATGCCAACGAGCCAGCCAGGAAGAAATCTGTGAGGATCTTGCCCTGAAGAGGTCGGGACTCTGACTCTCTGCAGCTGCGCATCTCCAGGATGCTGCTGTAAGCAGGAGGAAGCTAGGGCTTGTCTGCTCTTTGTACAAATCCTGTGCTCCCTCTTGGTTCCCCAGAGCCTCATTTGCCTACGTAGTGGGATTTGAACTCCTGAATTATACTGCCTACATTTTGAATTAGAGATTCGCTCCCCTTTTATTTCCTGTACTGGTAACCATTTTCAGAGATACAGTGCCAAATTCAGACTTGGAACTGAGGCCTGCAGGGTAAAAGGAGTGAATGCAGCCTATCTTTTTGAAGTGGCAGGAACATGAATTTTATGCAACATCCCCTTAAGGGAGATCTCAGCTGAATGATTCTGCTACATTTTTTTCTGCTAAGACAAAAAGTCTTCCCTCAAAGCACCATGTCTCAACACTTAAATTCTAGTAAATCTTCATATGTAAATACCATTTAGAAATGAGCTCTTAAATATTGATTTATAAGATATCATGGTCCCTCTTCCAGCTGCACTGATCAGACTCAGCAGCTGGTGAGGATTCTCCATATTCTCACTGAGAATTGGGCAAGGAGGCTCTCTTCAAATGCTCTTCCAAGCTTCCTAAGCATGTCGCGTTGCCTCTCATTCTTTACTTTCCTTTTGCACCTCTTCCATGCTGTCTCTCTGCATGAGGGGTTATTTTGTTAGCAACAGTTTTGCTCCAGCTGGGCCTCCAGAAATGTACTCGATGTTCTCATCATATGGGATTAGATTCAGCGGCCGTATTCTCGCTCAATACTTGCCATGAGCTCCTCCTCAGAGTAATCATATGATATTGTGGATTGCCTCTCAGGCTTCTTGCTATTTCTTTGTGGGCACCTGCTGGTTAAAGGAATGAGTTATTGCTTTTACGAGAGAAAATCAAGCTCTGAAGATACAAGAACCTTATTTCATTTTTTGTGAATGGAAAAATCGAAATGTGCATGGCTTGCTGAGACACAGGCACTACGAAACCTCTATTTTTCATACCCCACAAACATATCACTTGCTGATGGTTAGTATCACTTGACATCTATTTTATTCTGTATGTTCATTACAGTAAAGCCTTACAAGCGAGCTCCCGTAATCCTTTTGTAAACTTTGTTCAAGGCCTAACTAAAGCACTGCATACCTTTATGCTAGTTACTAGTTGTAGGCTTTATGTGAAAAGGGTTTTCCTTTTGTATCAGACCATGATCTGTGTCTCAAGAAGGCTGGCCATTACTGGTAAGAATGGCTTGCATTTCTAGTGCTTTGGTATTTTGTACTTCTGCTTTTGAGATATGGAGACGGAAGTTAGGCAATTTTATAGAGTGCTGGGCCCAAAAGAGTGGGATCATATGCTGAATTTCTTCCACCTGAGCCACTGCAGCACTCCGGGGATTTGGTTATGTTTTCTTTGTCTTCAGCTGGTTAAATAAGAATTTCAGTTCCAACCAAAAAATGACCTTGGCCTCCTCAAACTGCTCTTACGGCTTGTATTTATTTTCACGTTGACATAATTGTCACATGAGTGATATTTGATATAAGATTCAGAAGAGAACTGGAATGATTTTTCCACCGGTATTCTCAGAGATGTTTTATGCCTGGTACAATGAAAACAGGCAGATTTTCTGCATGAAAATCTCTTCTTTCTCTGTATGAGAAAGAACAGTGAAAAGTCTTCTCCGGATTTTGACCGCTGCAGTTCACACTACCAGATAGGTCTATTTTATCTTGCCCTCCAGGACTCAAGGGAGGAAAGAGCAGCATGACAACTGACAAGCAGGTCTTCTCAGCTCCCTTGGCCTTGTGGGGAACTGTAAGGCACGAAAACTGGGCCTTCAGGTTCATACTCTGGAAGTTTGGGCACACTGCTCCATGAAAGGGGTAATGCTGGGGTCCTGGGCTAGCGGAGTCTTGCACTGGTAAATCTGAACTGTACCATGCCATGTGAACTGATGGCTGGGGTTTAGAAGTGGGGTAGGGGCACTAGACAAAGACTTTATCTAACCTAAGGCCCTGACTCTCACCAGGTCAGCTGCAGACTTGTGCTAATGATGCTGTTATCAGTTTCCCTTCTCCCTTAAAGAGGGACAGTGTTTGTACCACTAGTTGAGCAAAGGTTAACATACAAAGGTTTGCAAAGCTGAGTGGACACAAATGCGAAGAGTGAGTGCACAAGAGCAGAAGTCAGAACACAGAGATTCTACTCTCAGCAGATGGAGCAAACATCTCCCAGTCCTGGTATCTGTATGTGAGTTTTGCTGGGCTGCATGATTCATTTGAAGGAACTTGGATAATGGTACACTTTCACAGAACTCTAACTTGGTGGGTTTCCTATGTGGCCACCCAGTGATGGAGACCAAACAAGCGAGAAATGATCTTGTATGGCGCGTTGTCGGTTGCCTTTCATAATCAATAGCATGGTTCTAGCTCTATCCCAGCCAATGTGACTCATTAATCAGCGTCTAGTCACTTAGCGTTTCTCTAAGGATGAGCTAAAGGGTCTTGCAGCTGATATAAATTTGGTCATTAGCATCCTTTGGTGAAAAAATTGGGGACGTATCTGTTAGATCAAATCAAAGGAGCTGCCCAAAAGCAGGTAAGTAAATGCAGAATCAAAGAAAAGTGCCCTGAAATGCCTTCCTAATGAAACGCTATCATATATGAATGGTGCTTTCAAAAACTGTTAGCCTTCTCTGATAGTCCAGACTTGTTCTCCTTAGGCAAGAAAGTATCCGTAAGGTTGCTCAAACGGGCATGAATCAATGTTCCACTGCTGTCACCTCAGAACAAACTAGACCAATTTAATTGCATCTTCATGTTCTTATCTGCCTAGGTCAGAAAGGCAGGAAGTCCAGCTGATCCGACCTAGCTGTGTAAGTGCCATGGCCTGCAGATATCAGAAACAGTTGCATGTTTTTTCTGGAGCCACCTGGTGACCAGCTGGCATGGCAGCTGGGTCATGTGGGTTCCCCCATGTATTTACATTGCGTGGTGCCCTTGATTGCCAGTTCCACAGGCAGAGCCATACATGGCAGCATGGAGGATTTAGTAAGAGGACTCTTCTGCTTATTTCTTTGTTCATCCTCCTCGTTCTGACAGACTGTGAGCAGTCTGGTTTCCACTGCAGTAAAGAGAGTAAGGAGCTGGGAAGAGAGCTTAAAATCAGTGTCCAAGAGCTAGAAACATACAGCAGCAGCTGCAAAGCAAATTCTTTGTAAGAACTAGGAAAAAGAAATACAGAAATCTGACTTAACTCACAACTGGCACACGATTTATTGACTAAACTCTGTGCTGTGACAATCCTTAAACTAATTTTATGTTATGTGATGAATCAGAAGCAGAGCCCTTGGCAGACTTGCTTGCAGGCCCACAGAGGATTCATTGTTTCTCTCGGTGATTACATAGTTTCCCACTGTTAATTATTCTTGATGCCTTGGTCTGTATGGTGACCTTTAAGCATGGGAGAAAATCAGGTAAAATTCAACCTTACTGAAAAATGCATGTGCTTTTAAAAAGACAAAAGCAAAAGGCCCCCTACCATACAGATCCCAGAATTTAGCAGGAAAAACAGAGCCATTTTTATTTCATGAGCAAAGAGGAAAGGGGGAAAGCAAGTTGCTGTTCATGTTCTCTGTCTCTACTGTTGTGGCAAAGTTCTATATTATTTGGTAGGGAAAAAGTGAAATAAATTGAAATATGAGAGGTGCTGTCTGGACATAAGGAGCTTTTCCACTATGAGGCCAGCAAGCAGTGGAACAGGCTGCCCAGCAGGGCTATGCAGCCTCCATCCTTGGAGGTTTCCAAGATCCAACTGGATGAAGCCTGGAGTGGCCACCTGCTCCAGAAGCAGAGGAGGCCCCTTGCCGCTCTGATCTATGCAGCAGCCAGGTCTGGCGATCCGGGAATTGCAACCACGTCAAAGCAATGCCTGTTCAATCCAGTGGAGGGCTGTTAGACTTTCCAATTTGGAAAATAACAGGTCAGTACCTTGAGGGGAAAATTACTCAAAACCCAGCTGCTCTGGGGGAACAAGAAACCTGAAAAGCAGTAATGCTGAGAGGAAAAGAGCTAACTGGAAAGTATAGGGGAATTTGCAGCATGGTAGGACAGCAAAGACACACACAAAAAAAAAAAAAAGGTTAATGCAACTCCGTCAGGATTACTGTGCAGACTTCTGGGTATCTCATTACTAAAAAGTTATTAACAGCTTGGACAGAGTCTAGAAAGCAGCAATAAAAATGATTTATGGGAGTAGAGCAAAGCAACTCAGGAAGGAGGAAAACAACAAACGTGTTCTACTTCAGCAAAAGGCCTCTCTATGTTTTAAGATTATTAAGGGGAGGAGGATTTTTTTTAATGAAAAGACAATTAACTATGCAATGAGAAGAAAGGAATGCAAAGGGCAAAATTAGACTAAAAGTGAGCAAAACCACCTTGGAGCAAGATGTCAAGCAGGGCGTTCCAGCCTCCCCAGCGGCTGGGATGGGTGGCAGTGCCAAGATTCTGCCATGGGTCGTGGTGCCAGGCAGCTCCCTGATGCGGGGTCTGCTAACGATGACCCTAACGGGGCAGTGAGGGTGACAAGCTCCTCAGCAGAAACCTCAAGTAAGTGCCTAAAAATCAAGTGGGATGACTCTAGGTCACTTTTTTATCATTTTTCTGAGGATGGGAAAGTCCAGAATTAATCATTAAAATGCCTTCTGAAGCCCTTGTGACTGAAAAACGGGTCAAAACAACGCCTCGCTAACTCTGCTAGTGACACAAGCGTTGGGAGCAATTATAAAATCCTTATAACCATTCTCGGGCCATGTCATCCAGCCTTTGGCCTACCAGATGTTACAGAGTGGTTCACGAAACAATTGTGGTGGGGCAGAAAGTAGCACAATACCATAAAGAATACATACAGCTATACTCCCAAGCACTAGAAAAGTACTTATTAATTCCTGTTTTAAACGCTTATTTAGTTTCACACATGCTCTTAGCCCGAATATTTGAAAAAAGCAGTATATAACCCCCACAAAAACAGTGGCCACGAGTTTTCAGGCACCCCTTCCCCATTTGATGGACATTCCTTTGCCTCATCTCACTGCCCTGCACCTTCGCTGTACAGTAGGTCTGCACCTATCTCACGTGACTGCTCTCTTGGCAGATAATATAAAACCTCCTTATCTAGTTATTTTCTCCCTGCTTGACATTTATTTCTTCTGTACCTGGTTTTATGGGTATTTCTTCAGTCAGCAATTCTATCAAGGCTAGGCTGATTTTTGCTGCTTGTAAAATCTGTTTATCTAGAGTAACTCTGGCCACAGAAGTCTGTACTGTGAAGGACGAGACATCTACACAGATTAAACACTGTTTCTTTGGCTTGATGCAATTCCTTCAACAAAGCTGCATTGTTTTGTTGGGGGTGCTCAACCATTTCCAAAAAGTGTTTGCGCGTAGTTTTACCAGTAGAAATTGTGGCCCTACTCACGGGTGTTAAGGGCATGTTATGCTGCACTGGCTGTGTTATGGGGCTCTGGAGTGCGTATAAAGGAAATGTAACCCCCCTGTACTTTAAATGAAAATTAACTTCTGCTTTGGCATCCCAGATTTGAAACCAGTTTCAGCTATTTTTGCCTGCTCTTATTCCATTGTATGACACCTCGCCTGGGTATATTTGGGCTCTTTTTGTAAGACAGTCAGATTTCCCCTGGGGATATTTCGTATATTGAACTACCGGGTCTTCCCTTGGTATGCCAAAGAGGGGGAGAAAAGAAAGTGCCTGGCAGAGGATGATGTGGGTCAGCAAGCACCTTGGACTGCAAAGCGCAGTGTGGGGCTGGCGGGGACCTAGGCAGGAGATTTCAAGCCAAAGGCTTGGGAGCCCTCAGAGGACAAGCACTGCTCAGTTGTCACCGTGGTGCAAAGGCCAGTGAGGCCGCTGTGGAGCTCAGGAGCGGTTACGCTCACTGCGAGAGCCCGGTGTGCCTCGCCGCAGCCTTGTCAGCCGTCGGGAAAGCAGAGGGGAGGCCCGTTTCCCGAGTGGTCCTGTCGGGTTTGCTCCTGGCCAGCGCCGAGGGCAAGGAGCGGGTGGGGGACGGCGGCTGACGCGTGAGCTCTCCTGTCACATCCATCAGCACTGTTTGGCATTAGTAGGTCACGCAGGCTGACAGCTGGGATTTTCAGATTAGTCTGCTCTGGAGAGCTTCAGGAGGAAAGGGGCTGTGTGACAGTCGGAAAGGAAAGAGCTTAACGTTTGGAAGAGTGGCTCTGTAGTGTTAGGAGATGACAGTTTAAAACAGTATTTTAAGCCTTTTAGTTTCAGCTGAGTTTCCTTAACATGTGCATCAAGCTGTTCCCACTGCTCTTTGCTGCTGGCAGATTTAGAGGCACAGTCTGCACTGCTGCTTTTACTTTTACTTTTAGAAAGATGATTTCAAGTTTCTTTTGTTTGACACCCAATACAGTATGCCCTCCCCTTTCCCCAGTCCAGAGGGACACGTGTGTCTAACGGGTGCAGTATGGGAGCTTATCATGGATTTTATCCTTATGAATCCTGGAGAGGAAAGAGATGGTTTCCTCTTTTCATATATGCTGCAGAGCCCACAGGAGACCAGTGGTGAACCAGGGCCTGAGCTACTCACTGGAGCGCTCCTCCCCAGTTTTCTCTACAGCTCCCACCAGATGACTTTGTGACATGTGGGCTCCCTAATGCTGCATTACTCATGCCCAGGAATGAATCTCTGCACCATACTTAAGCTGTAGCCTAGATCTCTTCAGGCAGCACGGCTCTGGATTTTTTTTTAATTGGAGAATAGCTACAGGAGAGAATACTTAGGACTATAAACAATTTGATGCCATTCCCACTTCTCTTGTCTTTTGTGCAGCAGCAGGTGTGCAGGAACAGCCTTGCCT